ATATATGTGTGTGTATGTCTGTGTGTGAGTCTTCTGCCTGGAAATTTCCCAGCTTTAGCCAGAGTCTGCCTTACATGTTGTAAATGGTTTTGCTAATTGTATTAACGACCGGCTGCCTGCCTAACATCAACCCTCTTTGGGAATACATTAATCAGTGATGTCTAAATACTCTTAGAAAGTACATATGACTCCGAGAAATGACATTGGTACTTGCCAGGTTCGAACCCGCGCCCTCATGCATGAGAGGCGGGTCTTTTAACCACTAGGCCAACACTGACATTTGTGTGTGTAATGCAATTAATATTTTCTTATGTATAACTGTTGGAATGTTTGCTCGTTAAGCGCGTATATATCACTGAGGATTCTAGAAACTTATTTGGTATAAAAATTAGTTCAATTGATATTATACAAACATATAAATAAATATTTTACATGTCTTAAATTACATTTGTCAAACCTATTTATTATTTATAACTAACTAGCACGATCCATAACATCGTTTCCATGTAGGTTTTATAATGAGATCTAAGACTTTCGTAGGTATTCAGTTAAATAAAACTAATATTTTCGGATTTACTACTCGTTTTTTATAATTTCTATACTACATACTCTCGGGCAGACGAGATGCCAGATCATTTACCAAAGCCTGGTGGCTTAAGAAATTATTAAAAATTAAAATTTCCAACTATAATTTGACAAATATTCCGATTTTTTTCATCTGCTTTCTTCAATCAAGTATCGAAACTTTAAATATAAAATGCCGTACATTACAAGTAGTGGAATCGTAAAATATAGCATTATATGTGTTTTATTGTTATTAACATTGAAACAACACAGACTGGGTAACATTCATTGAGTCTCAAGTTTGTTTGCCAACTATCAAGAACGGTGTATTGTCGCCATCATCGTAAAATCGAACAAGCTAACTATTACATAAGTCGTGATTCCACAAAAAGAACATTGTTCTATTGTAACGGTAAACTGTATTTACAATCACATTTAACTTCACCCCGACTAAGATTAATTCTGAATTATTATTTATTACTAAATGAACTTAATAGATGGATCTTCATTAATATTTACTGCAAGATAACAAAGAGAATTCTATAGTAAGATGTACATAGAATTATTGGTGTATACTCACAAGGAAGTAGCCTTAAAATATTTTGCTGCGTGCCCTATGGAGATCTCGTAAGTCTCACGCCTACAGAGTTTGACTGTGTTTGGATAGAGACAATTCTAAAATAACTAGCATCATAATCTATAGGCATAGTAACATAGGTAACTTTCGTAAAAAGAAAATTCAGTATAGCTTAAACAAAAACACGTATTATGGATTGTGTTATATTCTTTTTCCATCTAGACTTACTTAAAACAGAAGTTTAAACTTTATTGTAATACTAGTTTTCCGGCCGCAGCTTCGCCCGCTTGGAGTTCGGTTATATCGCGTTTCCAAGAGAACCTTTCAAAAGTCTGGGATAAAACTATCCTATGTTCTTTCACAAGGTAAACTCTATATCTGTACCAAATTTCATTGAAATCAGTTCAGTGGTTTCGTCGTGAAAGCGTAACAGACAGACAGACAGAGTTACTTTCGCATTTATAATATTAGTAGGGATTAATAAAAGTAACAAAACTTTAGCAGCATTTTTACAATACAGACTTATACTGGATCATATTATATTAAGTATATGAGTGGGAACCAGGAAGCATGTCGACCCAGTCTGAACCGTTAGTATTGAAGTCGAAACAATCGCTTTTGAACCACGTCTCAATCACTAGAGGGGAATCTAATTTACTTCGTGCTATTAACTTGTCTTTATGTACTGCTTTATTATATTTTACATAGAAATATTACCTGATATTTCATTCATTATATACCTATTAGGACCAATCTTTTTTTTCTATTACTAATGGTTAAGACATGTATTTTCATATTTATGAATAGCTAGGAAGTATTGAATGATAATTTTAATTAATACATACATTGTTCATATAAATTTTAACGTAATACAAAACCGCAAACCAATCCGTCAGGGTCGTGGGAAGGCCAACTCTAGCGTGGCATCGCATCAAACTGATCATGTGAATTGTACTCATTTTTACCATTCGTATCAAATATAATATACATCTTAGAAATTTACCAACCAATTAGGTACTTGCGACTCGAAAAAATATTTCATATAGCCCAGTTTACCTTATATGCAATATATAATTTGATATAATTACGTAAATTTCATAAAACGTGGCAATTATAAGCTAATTAGATGTTTAGAAACGGAAAATGTTATGAGTTTTACGTTATTTTAAGGACACTGTTTTTAATTTTAATATCAGGATTATAATTATTTTGAATAAATGAATAAATTGACACACGAATAAATGGATAAAAGAATAAATAAATAAATAATAATATCTAACTTAAAGTTTATATAATTGTTTTGAGTTCTATAAGCTAGGACATTTAACTCGTTAACGCTAAAGATGTTGGTTGGTGAAGTCATGATAAGTTTCGCAACAGCCACCTCTTTGTCTACAAACTATATATTCTTTATAATGACAATCATTTTTCTTGTTATTTATACATTTTCGAGATACTAATAATTTGTTTTTATGTACGTCTCCAATGTGTTTATACATATATATATATAAAGTATGTATAGAAAACTTTTTACATTTCTTTAACTTTAAACGAACTTAATCATACTTTTATTTATTATTATTATTTCAGGAATATTATGTTCGAATTTGTATCAATTTTGTACTTTAATTAACTCTGTCTTGAAGGAATATTGCAAAAAAATATTTTATAAGTTCTAAATAAAATATATAATATACATATGTCACAAACTTAAAAGTGACAAATATTTTAAGGAGTATTAAATATGTGTTTGACGGGCTATTAAAACTATGCTTTATGCATTTCAAAATACGTAAATACTTACTTTTCTCAACTATGAAATCCTTTATGTGTATAAAAAATATTTTTTCTCAATACGACATAACTTTTCAAATGAGAATCTTTTCTTCTTTAGTTAGTAGCATTTCCTTATAGAAACGAGAATCTATCTAACTTTGGTTCCGTTATCTTGTATCATCAATTATAAGTCCCATTTAATTGCACCAATTAAGTTCGTTTTATCCTGTCCTTGAGCAGTACAAGTAATTATTTTGACAAAGCCAATGCAATCCCCTAGCTCAATGATAATAATAATTAATGTTCTTCAATGTGGAGCAATTCGTTCGATCGTGGTTACAGATAAAGATATAAAATGCTCAAGCAAGTTACTATCTATATCTATTAGTTTGTATCTCTATCTATCTATCTATATCTCTTGGTGTATCTACCTGTAGATACAGATTTGTTTTACTGTGGAAGGTAATGGTATAGATGGAACTAGGACATTCTATGAAACCTGTAGTTTATTGACAGGTATGAAAGCTGACTTGTAAAAATAAATCTCTTTTAGTTATGGCTAATATTACTTATCTGTATAAAAGAAAGTCGTGTTTTACACTATTTATAACTCAAGAACGGCTGTAGGCATGTGGTTGAAAATAGGTGAGGAATTAGCTTAAGAGTAGGAGATAGACATTGGATACTTTTGAATTCTATTGACCAAAAATAATTTTGCTTATAAAATTCAAAATCTGTTTATTTACTGCCACTAAGTCGAAACAGTTCGCCTGGTTGACTATACATTTCTAATTCTGAAACTAACGTGGACAAAGTCACAAGCAAAAACTAGTATATGTATATATAAGCATTATTTTTATGTCAATATAGAGTCATTCAACCCAGTCGTGACAAACCTCGATTCTTCAAATTCACTCTCCTCGTACGAAGACACTGTCACTTGTGACTTGTCGGTATCAACTAACTTGTAATCATTTGTAATTGATCGCCTATTGTTTTCATGACTATTTCCGTTTCCTTATTTACGTCAGGCCTGTTTGTGTGTTTGTTTGTGTTCCTATATCTTGAAAATCCTTATACGATATATAAGAAAATAAAGACAAATAATTTGTGATAAGATTGGTATAATGAGTTTTAAGATTTTCGCGAGTTTTATTTATTTAAATCAAACTAATATTTTTCGGATATACTTTATTTTTGTATAAAACTACATACTCCCGACGCTTCGGCTACTTTTCAGCAACCGTGATCATGCAGACAAGAGGTTAATAATATTTGTATAACCTGAATTTCTTTTGATTAAATACCTCACATGTATAAAGATTATATTGAATATACAAACATTTAATGCATACCACGATATATCAAAGACAACCGGGTTTCCTCGCCGTCCAATAAATATGAATTTAATGGTAGTTTATGGTAATTAGTAACGATTTACATGCAAATAGTTCTACCGCGTGCATTTGTTGCCATTGTATTAAGTGGATCGAAAGTCAATAGATACATAGATATAATATAGTATCTGAAAATCACTGAATAAATAATAAGGGTATCACGACTTTGTTAATAACACTTATACATAGTTTTTTGGCAAAAATACCCAAAATATTGCAAGAAAATTTATAAATACAGGCAGTCCTCGTACTTACGGCATGTTAGGTTCTTGAAATACGCGACGTAAATTGAAACGACGTAAGTCGAGACATATTTTTTCATATGTTTACATGTAAAACTCAAGGGTTAGGTTCCACACGGACTCGAAATAATAAAAAAAACTGCATTTATAACAAAGGACGTACTTTATTATTAAAAGTAAGTTCTTAAAATAATTATATATTATGCACTTATGAAATTGCTAGTTATTTTTGGTATTTGTGTGTTATTAATTTTAATAATAATTATAAAACTTATACATATGTAATGATAAATAATAAATTAAACTTTTGGCTTAAAGAAACTATCAATTCTAGATTGCTTGGCTTCTTTCTTCTTGCTATCATACAGATCTTGGTAACAGTGATAGGCTGCACAAATTTTGTTATTAACGTTAAAACTTCTCTCAAAATTAGGATCATTTTCTTCAAAAATTTTCATGGCATTCTTCAAATTTGCAAAGGCTACGGAAAGTTTTTTTTAGTGTAAGTTCTTTTTCAGAGTCACTAATAGAAGCTATTTCTTGTGACTCGAGTGCTTCCTTTTGTACTTGTGCTTCCAATTCAATAAGATCTTCATCAGTCAGTTCTTGCGAATGTGAGCTTAACAGATCATCAATATCATCAGTAGTAACTGCAGTGTCAGGCAAACGGTTAGCGCCCCTCACGGACATTGACCTTGCGACAAGTGAATTCTCCGATATGCCGGAAATCGAAACAAATGACGTATGCTTGAGGAATAGTGTCAAAACATTGTTCGACGTAACTTGAAACGACGTAAATCGAAACGACGTAAGTCGAGGACCGCCTGTATAACAAAAGAATCATAAATATACCTAATGCTAGGTTCAAGTTCGACAGCAATCTCACCGCAATACCATAATAAGATTAACTTTACAATACTAGAATCGTGGTTTATCTTTATAAACGGCCATAAAAGTTTTATTATAACGCTAAGGATAAATAAAGCGATGATCAAACGGTATCTTACAATACAATAAAAGATAAATGCTTTAAAGATAACTATAGACAGTATAGTCCATTAGCACTTTAAGGATCTCGCGGGAATCACTAGAAAGTATGAAAATAAAAGAAAACCGGATTAACGCGAAACGAGAGAAGCCAAAAAAAACTGTTGTACACCTGAGAATTCGTTAGCATAATACAATTAGCGTAAATCATATTTTGATTTTCGATAATCAAGAAGTTTAGTCTGTCATCTTAATTACAGAGTACATAATATAATTGCAAAAAAACAACATTTTTTTTTTATAGTTAGGCCTAAATTTAGGACTATTATGCTTAAATCATTTCAGCATTTTTTTTATAACTTAACTATCCCATCAGTTAAAAGTACCTACAGCTATCTGTGAATATTATAATCGATATTAAAAGACTTAGAATATTCACCATATAATCATAAGCCATACACTTAAAGTAACAAATACCTACCGCGGCCTACAAACGAATGTCTTACATTTCAGATATCAAAGGTTCAAGAACGTTATTATATTACAATGCACTGTATCGAATAACACGCGACATGTTGAAACCGAAAGAAAATCTGCTTTCACACTAACCGACCTACATACGCGTTGAAAATATTCCAGAAAGTTCCAGAAAGTTCTAGAAAGTACCAGAAAGTTCTATTGTATTGACAAAAAGTTTTAAAGCTATTAATACTTTTATATAAGACTAGCTTTCCGCCCGCAGCTTCGCCCGCGTGGAGTTCGGTTATATCGCGTTTCCAAGAGACCCTTTCAAAAGTCTGGGATAAAAACTATCCTATGATCTTTGTCAAGGTGAACTCTATATCTGTACCAAATTTCATTAAAATCAGTTCAGTGGTTTAGGCGTGAAAGCGTAACAGACAGACAGACAGACAGAGTTAATTTCGCATTTATAATATTAGTAGAGATGATAATAAAAATAGTACAAAAGAATAAAATGAGAATTGAGAGTACACGTATATGGATAACGATGTATTATTAAGTCCAGTTAGTGAAGGCTACTTAACTTAAATATTCTATAGACGTCTTCATATATGGAGATAGTACCATTACTTAGCATCTATATTTAATTTTGCTAATTATACTTTACTAGTTTTTTGTGGAGACGAAAGTTTTGTCTGTTTTTGGTCTCGCTGTAAACATCTACACAATCAGGTTAACTCATTTTGATACGAGTTTCTTGATAATAGTGTAACTTAAAAAATGGACTATATAACAAAAATTGTCTCAATTAATAAAAAATATTAAACAATGGGGCACTGCGTATAGATAATTGCTGACGATTGCACAAATCTATCCATCAAGATGTTATCACAAATTAAGATTGCTTTCCCTTACACAAACTGACTAACAATAAAATAGTCGTCACGTTTTTTTCCCACGTGTGGGATTTATTGAACATCGTGGGAATAAGATTTGCATCATTACTTTATAGAAGCCACTTTTTATACCAGCTTACCTATTTATGCGTCATACATACGATTGTAATATAATTGTACGTTGGCGTGTCAATGTTATTACGTATATAATTGTTGAAGATAATTCGCCCATGAACAGATCTTATATAGATAGTCTTTTTATAGAAAGAGAGTACTCAGATACATGTTATCGACCTGTATAGGTTCTTTATTTGCTTTATATTAAGTATTGAAAATATATGTAAATAGAACATCTATTTCTTCTTCTTCTACCTGGCAATTTCCTAGATACAGCCAGGGTGTGCTTTATATGTTGTGAATAGTTTTGGCTAATTGTTTTTACGACCGGCCGCCTGCCTGACATCAACCCTCTTTGGGAATGCATTAATCAGTGATATTTAGATAATACTCTTAGAAAGTACATATGACGCGGAAATATCACATTGGTACTTGCCAGGATCGAACCCGCGCCCTAATGTATGAGAGGCGGGCCTTTTAACCACTAGGCCACTGACTTAAATAGAACATATATTTCTATGGTATAAAATTAGAAAAGTGTGAGAACTTAAACATAGTATCAAACTGCATATAATAACTTAATATAAACCTAGTGAGAAATCTAGACAGTGATGATTTATTGAACAAAATCATATAATTTTGGTTGGCTGATGTTAAATTCGCAACACTAATGATAGCCTCCGCATTTGCTCTATTTAATTTCAACGAACAATGGCGCGCAAGTTCATACTGTTATGAGTTCTGTTGTAATAACGGTACACTTCGTTCCCTTTAATTACACTACACTCTTACCCCGTATTACTACGTGTAATTCTAATATTAGACATCTTTACCGTTTCACATAATATATTTATCATTTTAATTAATCCAATACAAATATATGATAGTGATATCTTAATTAAAATGTCCCATTTTCATTATTATCTACACAAAAACTAGCATCGAACAGAGAAATTGTAAGCTATCAATTAGATGTACGATAACGGCTGACTATAATGATCCGAACGGCTTTTTGTCGGCACAATTCTGTTTAAAAATTCACATGAAATCCGAGAGTCGGCTGACACACCTGTTATAAAAAAAAAGATAAAAAATATAAAAGAGGTTTTAATATAATAAGTGATTTGCGACACTGTTTGACGAACCTGTTCTTTTATTTAACATTATCGAATAAAAATATTTAGAGGCTTAGCCATTTTAAACACGTAAACAATTCATAACGATTTTTTTATTTATTATCATTAATATCTATTTATTTTTTAACTTTATATTAAACTTCATTATTTAACTAAATAGTAGTTTACCTTGGATTCTAGATTATAAATAATAAATTTAAAATACTTTCAATTATACAAAATATATTTAAATAAAAGTCAATATAGAACTTAACATTAGTATTTCCAATACAAATTAAATTATGGGTTTATAGGATAGAGAAATTCAAATTAAACTGGTCGTGGGTCAGGAACAGTGACCTCCGAACTCGAATGCTTCATACTTCATTGAGCACGCCAGCTGAGCGTCACCCATTCAAACATTCGCCATAGTCGATGGCGCGCGTTCAGTGTCGATCCTAAACATTGGCTGTACACACGCGCCGGCTGTACACTTGTGGACTGTTTTGTGATTTTGACAGTTGCTTTTTTAAAATTTGACAGTTAATTTTTTTTGAATTGAAGTTGACAGTTATTTTTTTTGTTGAATTGAAATTGACAGTTTTTTTTTTTAATTCAAAAGTGATATGTGCTTAGTACTTAACTGATTCGGTTTGCGTTTTGTAAACTTCCGAAATGACGTCCATGTACGAGGTGAGTGCTCGCCATTTACACTTGACATTTAAGTTTTTGTTCAAATTTGTTCTGTAAACTCGTTCAAAGCGAATGCTCTTATTTTTTCCGCTAATTGTTTATATTGTCAAGCAAATGTTAATGATCTTAAATGTTTACAAAGATTGTGAAGCCAATTAGATTTACAATTCTATAAAGATAGTTACATATAATTTGTTTTGATAAAAGTTATAGATTGTTTGAATTTAAAATAAATTATAACAATAACTGTAATATATTGAATTAAATAAGTATATAAATTGCAAAACGCTTGCGGAATATATTACAAAGCAATGAATGAACTTTATTAGGTTTCAACATTGCAGTCAATAGATAATCTAGGTGTCACGAATTAACAATGCAGCTCATATCTATTTAAGGTGTTTGTCCCTTGTGGTAGAAATAAATGGCAGGTATTTTGGTGGCCATTGTTGATTCTTGATATACACGCAGAGAATTTAATTGACAGATATACAAAAAAGTTCTTATATATTTTAAGAAAATATTAAGTTGGGAGATTGTTTTGAAATATTTTTGTATTAATAATAAGATATGATTTTATTATTGCTGTTTGTGTTCGCCCAAACCATAATTGATCTTTTAAAATATTTTTTGTTTACTCATATTTATTTTAACTAAATTATCTCTTGCTTCTATATACAACGAAGTAAGGTTAAATATTGTTAGGGAATGTTTGAAATAAATTTTATATTAGGTTCGAATAAATTACGTTAATTTTATTCGATTGCACTGTTTGAACTGATTATAAAGTACATTGCCCTTTATTACACTGGCAACATTATATTATTTCCGTTTACATAAGAGTATGAAAAATTTCGCAATTTCCGTTTATAATGTAGAGTATTATAACCGAATATTATGTTTTTATTTACTAATAAATACATAAATGATTTTTAATGGTATAATTCTATATTATTACAACGGGAATGCATTCAATATGAAGTTATTAATTTAAATATGGCGCCCCAACGGTCTTTGGAGCACAGATAAGATAAGTTATCGATATCCGTTACGTTAGAACGTTATTGGAATGCTTGTCTTGAATATAAATTGTATCATTTATAAATATTGACAATACTATACATACACTTGTATGATATCTTAAATAATAATTTGACTTGAAAATATATAGAAATTATATAAATATTTTATTATTTATTTAGGTTTATTGTATACTAGTTTTCGCCCGCAGCTTCGCCCGCGTATAGTTCGGTTATATAGCGTTTCCAAGAGAACCTTTCAAAAGTCTGGGATAAAAATTATCCTAGGTTCTTTCTCAAGGTCAACTCTATCTCTGTACTATATTTCATTAAAATCAGTTGAGTGGTTTAAGCGTGAAAGCGTTACAGACAGACAGAATTACTTTCGCATTTATAATATT